TTATAGAATTAACTGATAAATTTAATAGTTCTTTAGAAATAACAGTTAGTACTGATACTGTAAGGCATGTTTTACATGAGTCAGGATACTATGGAAGAGTAGCTAAGAAAAAACCATTAATTTCAGAATCAAATTCAAAAAAAAGATTAAATTGGTGTGAAGAAAGAAAAAACTGAAATGATGAATGGGAAAAAATTATTTTTAGTGATGAATCACATTTTGGAATATTCAAAAATGATTCTCAAAAATGGGTATGACATACAAAAGATGAAAATATCATAAAGATTGTTTACAGACTACTGTTAACACATATAATTTTGTAGTCAAGAACAAGATCATTCTTTCTATCTTAGAAACAAATTAGTAGAAAATCACTCTACGATTAGAAAAATCGCGAGCGAAATCGAAAAACATAAAAAAAAATGCAAAAATTTCTTGAGATTTCATGCTTTTTCGACTTCGCTCGCGATTTTCTAGTCGTAGAGTGATTTTCTACTAAGCAATTTCTAAGATGGAAAGATATATCTTGTTCTTGGCTACAAAATGATATGAGATTCACTCCGGTAGCATCGATATTCACGGAGTTATTCTAGTTTAAAGAGCAAAATATCGTACGCGTGAAAAAAATTAAAAAATACTTTAAAAAATTTATTTTAAATTTTTTATTAGTTCAATATTAAGTAAATAATCAATCAAATAAAGTGATAATCATTGTCTATGCACAATGGCAAAATGATTTAAAGAAATTATTAAGGAATTTAAATTACATTTCATACCCGCAATACCGTTTAAGGGATAAATTTTTCTTACTTTAAATTTTTAATATTTTACAATGGTCATTGTAAAATTTATCACAGGATGTACAGTACGAACTTGTTATGTATGAAATTAAGTTCCCTTCGCGTAAAATTTTATTGGTTTGACGTTGTACATATAAACATAAGTTAAGAAAAGGAAGTATTTTATTATAAGTTTCTAAATTACATGAGAATTGTTCAAAATTTTGATCATCAGTAGCACATTACTGCATGAGAAGCGTAAGGAAAAATTTTTTTCAAAAAATATCACGTTTCGAATTAAATATTAATTTGTGATTCAATAACTAATAATTTTCATGAAAAATGGCCTAAAATTTCAGTTCTTATTTTAAGCACCAAGAAGATTGATATTCTCTCTTAATTCATTATTCAATATGTTATTGGAGGTGTTTTAATAATTGGATAAGGATTTTCATTGAATAATAATGATCTGCACAAAACGTATCACGAATTATGGTACTGCATTATTATTTTATCAATATTATTAACTTGTCAATGATTAAACTATTATCGAGATTTCCTTATTAAGGATAGATAATTTATTTGCATGCATAACGATAAGAATCTCATTTGGATAATAATGAGTAAATACGTCTAATAATTTATGCATGTATAAAGTACGTAATTTTTGATATAAATACATTATACTAAACTTGATAGTTTCTCTCAATTCACTTCCATAATGTTGAATAGAACCTTTTTTTTCAAAACGGCTACTTTATTTGCCTTGATACTTTTATTCTTATTTTCAGTAACTGCTCATAAAACGAAAACTATAACCCAGACACGCGGTTATACTAGAACGATTTATCCCACAAATTGTACGGCTACCGTCACCGTCACCGCCACGTCTGAAACTACCACCACGACCACCAATTTCACTACTACCAGAGCTACAACTACCACTACCACTACTTCTACTACCACCACTACCACCACCATCGTACCCACCCTTAAAAAGAGGTCCAATAAAGTTATTTGCAATCTTGATAGAAATGGTTGTTATTTCAAGAATAAATACACAAAGATCGTCTTTTGTAAACCCACTGTTTACTTGCCATGTCCAGAAGCTTGTACAGAAACAGTAACAAGTATCTCAACCTCTATTGCGACCACTACTTCGTTATATACTTCACTTTCCACCTTCACATCCTCCGTATTCATCACCCAAACCGATACCTATTTGATTCTTGGTTAAAAAATTTTATCTTTCATATTTATTGAAAATTTATGGAAAGATTTTTGCGAAATTTACGGGAATTTTCTCGAATTAAAATTAAAATAACAAGTTTACCATAAAATGGAATTGCGCAAGTAGCAGTACGACCGTTAATAAATTATTAAAATTAATTAAATAATAGGAAGCATATATCTAGATGTTCAAAATTTCGTCTTATTGAATAAAGTTAATATAATTATTATAACAAATTATTATTTAATATAATTATTATAACAATTTATTATTTAATAAAATTATTAATTATTGTAATCATTATAAAGAATATTTCACTTAAAAAAATAATTAATTAACGAATATTAATGTCAATAAATATGAATATATCTTTATTAATATTTTAATATTGATATTTCTTTCGTTTCTTTTGTTAAACACGAAGTAAATTATTTTCGCGTATTATATAAAACTGATTGAACAGCATATCCAAATAAGCCCTTTAGGAAAAAAAATGTTTTTTTGCGATTCACTTTAGGTAAATAAAAAAATGTCATTTTATTTTATTTTTTTTTCGCGTTGGATTTTTTTGATTCAAAGGGTTCATAACCATAATATCATAACCAATAATATCAAGCCGCTGCATCAAGACTAAAAGTTGTGATTAATTTGATCCCCGTTTTTTTTTTGTAAAAGTCCTTTTAAAAAAATCATTATTTCAAATTGTTCATTTCGTTATTTAATTAAATATCATGTCCTGTTTTACTCTCGCTTTCCTCGCTGAATTTTTGATCAATTAATATAATTTATTACAATTGAATCAATTAATATAATTTATTATAATTGGGTCAATTATATAATATTGGAAACAATTCTTTGTAACTTTCACTTTTTTTGGTAAAAGAGTCCCATAACCTTTTGCCAAATCTCACTGATCAATTTCCTTAGACAACCACCATTTTCGTTTCTTGTAAAAGGATTTCCACGTTTTTTGAATTTTTAATACGATAAATATCTCATAAACATTTAAATAAAATTTTTGTGGTATTTTTCTTGATTTGAAATGAACATCGAAATAATTAATCAAATATGCAATGCTGGGATTGAATGAATTTTTTGGAAATAAAAACAATTCATTATTAATTTTTACATGATAAAAACTAAGCTTTATAGTCAATAATAAATATTATAGCAATTTAAATATTATTGAAATTTCCCTCGTTTGCATTCACCTGTCTTTTATAATAAAATAAAATTATTTTTATATAAACAGGTGGTACATGTCTTTTAAATGACTTACTTTTTATTATTATTAAAGTTAACTTTTATATTATATCTCTGTATTTTATTTATGTGTTTATTTTAATTTGGATTAAAGGATATTATTTTAAAAGTCAAAGATTGTGACATAATTTTTTTTTTTTTGAAATATTTCCAGAGAACATATTAATCATAATTAGACAAAATGAGTATAGTAAGTGATAAAATAAATTAACAATCATACATCAGTCATCATTAACGCCTTGTAATAGAATATATTCGTAATCCGAATGCATTCATATAGTCATCAGTGGAATTACACACACAAAGTTAGAATTTCGTAGAAATTTTAGCAACTTCAAGATAATATTTTATATCGAACAGAAAATTCATGTTAGAGTCATATATATTTAATTAAAAGTTCCTCATGTTTAATAGAAGATTAAAAGTACAAATTTTAGAATTTTATAGATAAAGGAATTCGGGTTAAAAAAAAAGTGATACATTAAAATAAACATTATTTTGAGGTGTAGTATTAAATATAATGGAATTTCAACTTCTTCATTATACATCGCTCTTGATTTTTATAAAAAATAAATTCTAGAATTTTTTGTTTCAGTTTTTATAGTTTTTATGAGTTCGATTTAACCATTCGAAAACGAATTTCTCCATTCACGTATTTTATAATATATCCAATTAAATAATTCAACTTTTTAATAAACTTTTTTTTAGGTAATGCTTCAGCGTCACATTAGTAGTAGTAGTAATAGTAGGGATTAGCGTTTGCCTCTGCTTCAGCGTCACGTTTGAGGAAGGGGTTAGGGTAATCATCACGTTTGAAGAATGGGTTAGCTTCAGCGAAGAGGAAAATGGTGAATAAAGCACACAAGAAGATGACAAGTTTTGAATTCATCTTAAATTATTTTTTTTTTTTTGCTTTTTAATTTGTTAAATACGATAGATGAGTGATGAATCAAAGCTGGGGGGTTTATATATTCTTTTGGCAACTTTATAGTCAAGATGAGATTTAAAAAATGATTTTATTCATTTAATTAATAATCATTAAATGATTTCAAATTCAAATAAGCCGTATATTTTTATTTTATTATTGATTATTTATAAGCCATTTTTAGTGGCTTCGTAATAAAAAATTTTAATGTGGCTGTTTTCATTGCTGTTATTATTATTCATATTATTATTATTATTATTGTTCACATTATTAAAGCAAGCTTAAAATTTTTATATAAACATCACCATTTGTATCAGATAATCTAGATAATCTACAATATCTGATAATAATGAATATTCGTTCATTAAGCAAGCTATATAATAATTTTTACAAGCTTTCCTAACATAGAGAGAAATTATATCTAAATACTACTTTGCAAGTCGTTTTCTGCGAATATCGGTATTTCGTTTGTCGGCAGATTATACGCTTCAAGAAATCCGTTAACAAAGTTCAATGTTAGTAAGAGGATTTTTGATATCGATTAATTATATAGTTAAACCTGTTTTTCGTGCTGTGCTAATTTTTTTTTAGCCACAATCTAATTGTGATGATCGTAAGTCTTTTTTCTGTATTGCAGCACAAATTAACGAAATTAAAATGTTTGAATATTATCTGTTTTAATAATGTTTCTTTTTGTTACAATTAATATGATGAGAGATTAGATTTATCGCTAGATTTATTATAATTCTAAAAAGAGAAGAGTATTTATGTTTTTTTTTTGTTATTTATTTTTTTGTTATAATCATTAATTGATTTCTGCATAAAATATTTATTTAAATTTACTAAAGTCTAACTATATTTTCTATGCAACAAAAAAAAAAAGAATATTCAATATTATAATTCTTAAGAAATATTTACTAAACTATACATTTCCGAAAAAAAAACCATGATTAAGTATTCATATTTATGTTAATATTAAATAATTAATAGAATTATTTATATTTTTAATCTTTTTATTTCATTTAATATCTAATTTATTTATTTTATTTTATTTTATTTTATCATGATTAAAGATTTCCATTCGTATAAAATAAAACCTTTCTTTTAGGTTAGTTATTTATTTATTGTAATTATTGGTAAGTGATTTTTGGAATCAATAAAAACTTGTTGACGAAATGAATATATATTTTTTGCTTATTCATGAACAAATTAATTAAATAAGAATCCTTAATATCGAAGAGCTTTTATATATATAATTATTAATCTTTTTAAATAAACAAAAAAGCTTAAAATTAAAATTATTAAACAATATTAAATAATAATAATAATTTAAATACCGAAGAACTTTTTAGTACAAAAACAAGGAAAAAGTAGTTAATATTGAGGTTTTTTTTTTCGAAAAATTAAACGAATTATAATCTTAAAGATATCAACTGATCTGAGATTTCGATATAACTTAAATTATAAATCGCTTTCACTCACGAGGAATGACAACGTAAAATTTCATCACCTTGAAAAATTAATTTAATAGATATAATTTCTACATTTTCAATAAAAAATATTTATTATATATTAAGTTTCATAATAACAATGATAGTTCCTTTTTTTACATTCCAAAACTTTAAATAATCATTAATAATTTTTAAATTTACTTTTTAGATTATTTTATTAATTATGTTAACGATTTAATTTTAATATTTAAAATGATAAATAAATATTTCTATTGATTATTTATTTATTACATGAAAATAAGAAAATAAAGCCAAGACACTTTAAGAAGATAAAGGAACGCCCAAATTTTCTAAATTTTTTTTCACATTTGTACATAAGTTGACAAAAGATCACGACGATTTCAATGGGGTAAGCTTTGAGTTAAAATGTGAAAATAATAAGTGTAATTTATAATAACAATATTAAATTTATATGTTTATAACTCGAAGTTTTCTTCAAAGATTTTTTTCCAAAAAAAAAAAAAAAATACTAACATATATGCAATTGCACGATGTCACAATTGCTCAAAAAAAATAGATGTTTATTCAATTTTATATATTGAGAAATATTGTTCTCGGAATTCAATTTTTATCCACGAATCGTATAACCTATAAACCCGATCGGAAGAAATTATATTATGATTAAAAATACGTATATCCATAAACGCATGAAAAAGGAAAAAAATTATGATAACACTTTTATCCTTATTATTATTATTATTATTATTATAAAGACAATGGATAAAAACCTTGTGAAAAAATAAATAAATAATTCTTCCATTTTCCTCTTCCCAATAAATTAAAAGCATTTGAATGCATAATATAATAGGCGATCATATTTAATAGTATCATCCTTTTCGACACCAATGAAATTAATAGAATATTTCATGTATAAAACGTCAACAAATAGTAATAATAATAAAGTATATGATTTACTTGCTACTTGATTCACCATAACGTGATCTTTATTGAAAAAAAATTCTTTGAGATAATCATCAGGATAATAACTGTTTAAGAGATAACAATCTACACTTCCGACGATGACCATATATTAATATTATCGGAGTATTCATCATTATAAACGATTGCATTTTACATTATAATAATTTTAATTTGATTAATATTAAAACTATAAAAACAAAATATTGTTTTTTTTAATAACTGTAAATATTTCATAATCTATAATAGAAGGTTCATAATTTTGTTTATCTGGAATAAAGTTAGATACATCTGATTATATCATGAATTCTAAATACAGATCATACCGTATGTATCTAATAAAATAAACATCTATAATTCTAATAAGAATTAAATTTTGGGTATTACAT